ATTTAGAAAGCAAATAATTCGGTATCATCATAATAAATTAGCCATAAAATTCGTATGACACTGCAAGATAATACATTTTATTGTTTTTTTTTTTATTAAATATAGCATTAAATTAAACGCTGTTGAAAATATTGTTCATTTCTTCAGTTTTAAGCTGTGAGCTCATGACTTACATTTCCACCTGTTGGGTATCTCAGTCTGGCATCTCCTTCTTCCAGTGCTCAGAATCACCTTACATTGTCCATTCTTTGTTGTTGGAGGTTTGTCTGTGGGTAACTCCATAAAAGAGTCAGCCGGGAGGAATGCTTAAGGGCAGGGAGTAGGGGGGGAGTTTGGGCAGGGGAGATGGGCTGCAGTGCCTTGAGTTTTTTTTGGGGAGATATGATTGGTCGAGTTGCTATCAGCTGGGGCCTTGTGGAACACAAGTCAGCCAATCACAGAATCGCAGAGACAGCCAGGAGAGGAACGTACAGCCTGCCAGCTTTGTGCTCGTCCAATGGGAGCAGGAAACCATCAAAACATGTGGTCCGAGGCATGTTGCTGCTTCCTGGGTCAGGCTCAGGGTACGACTAAGGAGACATTCCTCAGTGTTCAAGACAAACAATGTTCAAATGAGCCTCTGCATATTTTTACACATTTTTATAAAGGGCAGCTCTTTTTTTGAAGCCAAAGATCTTGTCGATTTCCTTACATAAGCCACAAACCTTTTTTTTTGCTTTAGGCTGCTTTCCTAAACGTGAATCTTTTTTTCCTCACAAAAGATCGTTTTTGCTGTCAAAACATTTGATGTTTTGTGCCCATGTGTTTTTGATTTTAAATTATGTGCAATACACTCTTATACTCTAGAGCAATAAACTGAAATGTTAATGATGCCTTCACAGTTTGATAATTTAAAAAGTATCGACTTCATTGAAATGCACTCAAATAACCTTCAAAATTATGTATATAAAGTGCATGTTACTGATTTTGCTCATACAGTGATCCGACATGCATTACAGTAGCATCAACAAAAACGTTTCAGAGTATTATGGAGGAGAGCGAAATGCGTTTTGATTTACGTCTTTTTTTTTTATTGGTCTGCTGCCTCAGTAAAAGAGGATAAAATGTATGTGGAGATGAAGGGAAGCAGAGGGTTTATGGTAACATTAAGATCAGCACTGCTGGATAATTCCTGAGCCCCTGAGAAATCCATCAAAGGTTGTGCTAAAATTCATTGCGTGGAGATTAATTACAGCTCAGAGCCCGAATCCAAGTCAAACGTTTAATTCACCACAGACTGTGGAAAAAAAGGTGATGTGGTCTAAATCCAGTGAAGGCTGTGTTTGCCTATGAAACAAATATTGCTTATTTTAAATGAGTAAAGGTTTCCCTGGGTGGAGGAAATTGGCCTTCTCTGCAGCAGATCATGGACTATTTATCAACGTTGCTGTTCTGTTTAATTAACATTTATGGTACGCTCCTTATCGGTGTCTCTGTGTCTGTTAGTGAAGAATGTTTGAGATGGGGATGTGAGGCTTCGTGTCTTCAGGAGGCCTGCTGGATTGGGGATTGCAGATTCCCATGGAAACATCTGGAGATTTCTCCTCAACCAGGGCACTGTTTTACAAACAGTCGGCTTCAAACCCCCAGATGTCTTTCGGAATTTGTTATTTTGACAAATCTAAAATATTTAATCAATTCAGATAGATTACCTTCTAAATGTGTGATCTGCTCTCTTGTTTTATGTTTTCTCGGGTGGTATAGAGTTTGGGACACTGGATAAATAGAGCTATGGAATTCATTCTTCAAACTCTTAGGCTTATGACAATAGGAACTAAGTGAAATCTGCACTGCAATTTAATAAGATATACAGCCTCGGAAAAAAATAGGAGACCACGCTATATTTTTATACAAATCTGCATTTTAAAATATTAGTTTAATCCTGGCTCTGCTGGCAGAGGCTATGCTGAGCAGCAGGTTGCTTCCAGGTTCAAAATGTCTACGACAGCAGTACAAAAGGTTAAGGTGAAGCAGGAGACACTGGGAACAACCAGAAACCAGCCAGGTAAAAGGCAGAAGTGACATTCTAATGCCAGAGATGACTGTCAACTTACCTGTCAGTTTCTCATGAATTGTAGGATGACATCAAGTGACCTTCAAAAGGAACGGGAAACATTAAGTGCAGGTGTGAAATGCACTGCTAGGACCGTTCATATCAGGCTCCTAGAAGCAGGACTGAAGACCCATAAAGCAAGGAAGAAGCCCTTCATTAATGAGAAACAGGGAACAACCAGGCTGTAAATTATATGATAATATAATATATTATTCACAGACACAGACCCATAAACTGAGTAATGAGTGAAACAAAAAATTGTTCCGTGTTTTTTTTCTGCGACTATCTGAATGAAAGTTAATAACGGTTCTTATGGAAGGAACTGTGTCAGATGTAGTTTTTGGTTTAAAACAGCTCCTTGTGGCTGCAATCACCGCATGTCAGTCAGAACTCAACATTATACTGATTTTGTTTTAAATGTAGACTAATTCTGTGTACTTGCTTTTTAAATATGTCTTTGAATTCACCAAAATTACACATCATAAAGTAATTATACATTTAGTACTGTAGTGAAGACAGACTAAGTAAGAAATTTAAGGAAATGTGTTCCTGGTTATGTAAGACTAATAATTTTCGGCTCATTATGTTTTATTCTGAAATTGCTCAGTGCGGAGGACGCTGATTGGGTTTTCTGTTTGCCACCGACACTGTAAGAATGTATGCTTTCCTCCAGCTGTGCGGACTGAGTTACGAAGGTGATTATGGAGTTATTGATGATGGTCGACCTGCGTGACTCTCATTTCCCCCTGGTGTTGTGTGACGACTCGGGGGGACCTGGCTTTGGTGACAGTAATCCGGCATGTTTGCGGCCTCGGGCCCCATCGATCATTCTCTGTTTGGGGAGCCCGCCGGTGCCCTCTGGCAAACTCTTCTCCTTTTCTGAATTTAGATAAAAAGCCAGAACCTTCCCGGAAGGAACTATGATGTCCCCACGCTAAAATAGAACAAGCAAAAATATCTCAGAGGCAGCCTGAATCTAAGGGGTCTGCTCTGCTCAGGAAGGGAAAATCCATTTGCTGTTTTTTTTTTTTCTTGCCGCCTGTGTGTCTCAGTTAATCACACTCCCCATACCCACAGCATTGAAACACCCATCTAACCAGCACTGATTCTGGTGCTGCGGCCAGTTTGCCAGCTCTCTGAGACCGAACTGTAGATGCCTGGGTTTTCCCACACTTAGGAGTAGCTGTTTATGAATAGTTGCCAAATAGCCCTGACATGAAGGAAAAGCAGCTATGATGCACTACACTGTTCAGTCCCACTTGCAGCAAGAGGTTTGGCTTGTAATACTGGAACATTCCATAGACTTTGACTTATAACCATCCCTGCGTCCATCATAATTAAGCAGCCAGACTGATTGTTAAAGCATAGGAAGGTGTATTTTAATCCGCTTCCAAACTTGAGGCTTAATTAAAAATTCCTTTGACCACAGTCCCCCTCGGCCCGTGCTGGATCCGGCAGTTTGGGGCCCGGGGGAGTTCTGCCCGCAGTTGCAGTGGCTTGGCCACAAGTCTGTCTTTGTTTTCTTTGGTAACATCCACATGGGGCAATTTTGGGGTCAAAACGCAGACACTGGGGGTCATATTTCCCGATTCTTATGTTTCTTGTGTTTTTCTGCCAGAATGTCCTCTGAAACGCTTAGACTGGGTCAGAATGACGTTTATCGGCCGAATAACGACGAGCGTTTCTATTTCATTTGGAATCTGAGACGGCTTGTTTCTTCTGTACTTTTGTGTGGGTTTTTGCATTGTCTTTTATACGAAGCCAGATTGTCAAATTGTCTGAAGGTATTTGATGTGAGTTCATGTGTGACAAATAGCTTTGGTCGCCTGTTTATTAATCATGTCGGTTGACAGTTTCTTGCACTTGATAGCTAGTCAGGCAGTTTCTTGAATGTTTCACCGAACCCTCAGATAGTATTTTTGCAGACCACATCGCCTCGTTCGGTGCCCTTGTGACCACAGCAGCTCCGGTGTCTGGTGACGGGATGGTCTCAGTCAGGACTGACTGGCTCCTGGCTCTGAAAATGGGGGGCATTAGTCCCACCTGTTTTCATGCACAGCTGTTTCCTGCTGGGAGCGAAGGCCTTGGGCCTGCACGGACACAACATCGAGCAAACAGGAACTGTGCCTTGGAGCCCTGGTCGCACTGCTTCTCAAACACAATGCACCAGAGAGCTACTCCAGGCAGCCTGCATGCTCTGTCACACAATGGAAAAAGCCAAGTTCGGCAGTCTAGAGGTTAGGGGGTCACGGTGGAACAAAGAGAAAGGCGCATGAGAGAAACCATTATTTCAAGAAAATGAAACCTTGTCCTTGCCGCTGTTATTCTTTCCCCTTGCAAAGTGTATTCTTTGTCTTCATGATGACTACAATTGAAACACAATACCTCAATCGTTTGTCTTGTTTTTTTGAGGTATAATTAGGTTCCTTAACTTAGAATTCCCTGTTTGCAATTTGCATCAACAAGAGACGAGTATTTTTGTTTTGTTCTTAACAATGGGTGTTGAGCTTGATTTGCTCTAAGTACAACTCAGAATTTCTTTCAATTTTATGCCTTAAAATAATAGAAGCTTTATTGCACTGTCAAGAGTCTAAGAGACTTCATGAATTTTAAGGTGCAGGGAGCAAAATTAATTATCTTTTTATTTATAAAAGGCTAAATTTTAAAGCACGTTCAGCCCCCGAGGCTATGAATAGCTATAAACAGCCATATTAGCTGTCAACAGGCAGATTGCACTTTCTACAATAAAATTCACTCATGGGTGGGTGTGGGGTCAATCTCATGTTCCAAATTCAATTGTATTTCAATCCGGATGTAGCCCAGAATATGCCGTTTTTTTTATCTTTCTGTGCCAAAGTACAACGTACTAAGGTAACAACCTGTAAAATTGCTGTTTTTACTCCTGCAGGGTGAATCAGTGAAGTATTTCTTGGACAATCTCGACCGTATTGGGCAGCTGGTAAGTTATGGTCACTTTCTGATTAAGTCGGTTTCTGCAGTCTGTCAGGAACACTGTGGACCTCACAATGTTCAGTATCACAGTTGCTTCCAGTTTCTAATATCTGCTTGTGTGTATTACTGTTGGACCACATTGAAATTATTCAAAGAAAAACATCCACTGTATATCTAACACATCTGTATTTAATCAAACGCTGCTGTTAAAAACAGAAAGCATGTGAAAGATAACACACAATTTAATTTTAAAATGACTGATATCTTGTTGGATGCCTAGATGAACACCGCTTCAGTTCCCAATCCTCTCCTCAGGGGCACCTCAGCCATTCCATGTGTTTATTAAATCTCAGCACCAGCCCACTTAATTAATTAATTAATTAATTAATTAGTTAGTTTAAAAAGTCAATGAGATATTGATTAGGCATTCGAGGTGTGCTAGTGATTGAGTCAAAAGGTACATTGGCTGCATTGGATGGTTGCTGCAAGTATTGGGGTGATTTTAGCAGAAGTTTTGAATTGGCTAAGCTGACACACTTTGACAAGCATGATATACTTTTACACCAACATAAAGATCATTTAAACATCAGTTTCTTTATCTGCCTGAGACTTTGGCACAATATTGTAAATATTAAAATATCTAAACATTTAGACAACTTGATATGCTGCTGAAAAATGTCATTAATTTTTCATTCATATTGAAGACTGCTGGATTATATACTAACATTTAACCTTCAATTTTCATTCATATTATGTAATTGTTTAAAGTGTTTATTTTTCTTTCATTGTATGAGTACTACAATATCTCTAGTGCTTTCCTCCTACATCACTCTGGTATATCTTTCTTCTGGCTTTCAGAATTATCTTCCAAGCAGACAGGACATCTTGCTTGCGAGGAAAGCTACCAAAGGGATTGTGGAACATGACTTTATTATCAAGAAGATCCCCTTCAAGATGGTAGATGTGGGTGGCCAGCGATCCCAGCGGCAGAAGTGGTTCCAGTGCTTTGATGGTATCACCTCCATCCTCTTCATGGTGTCCTCCAGCGAGTATGACCAACTTCTGATGGAGGACAGGCGAACCAACCGGCTAGTGGAGTCCATGAACATCTTCGAAACCATTGTCAATAACAAGCTCTTCTCTGATGTTTCCATCATCCTCTTCCTCAACAAAATGGACCTGTTGGTGGAGAAAGTCAAGAAGGTTAACATCTGTAAGTACTTCCCCGACTTCAAAGGGGACCCCCACCGGCTTCAAGACGTGCAGACCTACTTGGTGCAATGCTTCAACCGCAAGAGGAGGAATTGCAGTAAGCCCCTATTCCATCACTTCACCACAGCCACCGACACAGAGAACATTCGTTTTGTGTTTCGTGCTGTCAAGGACACAATACTGCAAGCGAACCTTAAAGACGTAATTTTACAATGAATCTTTCTACAGGGGTTCAGTTCTCTGCAAACGTGCCTTACAGATGGCACTTCTTCCCATTCAGAGAAGCTGAAAGGCTACTTAAAGACTTTTGGAACTTCAGACTATGCACTGATATCTCTCTGTTAGACTAGCACACTGCCAGCCTTGAATCTGGAACTGTTGTTTCTGTGTGCCACAGGCTATTCTGGCAGGATCACTGTTTAAGTTTTATGAAATTAAGATAGTTTTCCCACTGGTGTATCTCTGGAACATCCATCATGTTTATGACTAACAATGATCTGATAGTCAAGTGCTTCCTAATGTGACAGCACTGTAAATATGTGATGTAAATGTGATGATCTTTGCTCCAGGTCAGATGGTTTCATTCTCTTCAGATAGCTATGGGCATTCTTATTTTTGTAAAGGTTATGAGGCAGAAAATGATAGGACTGTACCTTCTGTATTCTCTTTAGGAGAGGAATTTCAGTTTGCACTAATGCTGACTGAGATGGGATGATATTAACAAGTGTGAATGGAGACTGACTATGAATCTTTGCCTTTAACGGCATCTGATTAAAAAGAGATCTCTGATTTGGAGCAAATTTGGTTTGGATTGCCTATAAAGTAAAACTTTCTGTAAATCTTTCAGCATGATGAATACTGTGGTGCGTTAAACTGCTAAACTCATTTAGGATTTGCACAATGGACATCAAAAATATTCACATACTTATTCTGACCAAACAAAGCATCATAACCTATATGAACAGAATTTATAATATATAAAGGAGTGAAAGATGGAACGATACATCTAAAGTTTTGCATTTTCCATTGCTTTTAATGTGTGCATGTATATATCTGTAATTTTTGTGTCCTTTTTAAAATTTTGAGCCATGTCTGTCAGATTGGGACAGAAACACAACTCCTAGTTGGTAAATTTTTTGAGTGTATGACATTGTTACTGTGCAAATAGAACCTTTTAATTCCCATTTATATTGATTCTAAATGTTTATGAATATACACTGCTCAGAACAGAACAGAATTCGGTTAACATCTAACGAGTGCTGTGTCTTTTGGATTTTTTGTCATATGCATTCCAGATTCCTACAATAAATCAGAGGTGATATATAAGCATATTTGTGAGGAATAAAAGTCTTTAAACCACTGTAAATAACATTTATCTAATAATTAGTGTTGTAACATATCTGAAAATAAAGTTGAAAAAACAAAAATATGTAACAGCTAAATTCATTAAAAAATTGTGAGAAAGGTATAATGCAAGGTGTCAGGAAATACATTTGGTATTATGTGCATATGCTGTAAATACATAGTATCATATTTTTTAGTTTTGGATTTATTTATTGAATATATTTATTCATTACTCTGTGTGTCACACTGAGTCACTTAGACAGTTGGACCAATCGCAAGACAACCGTCTGTTTGTCGTAAGCAATACTAAAGCCCCCTGGAGGATGATTCATGATTATTGTGTAGTAAGTGGTTTTTAATGGACGAGATAAGGAAAAAAAGTTTCTTGAAATAGCACAGACATTCTTCTCTGGCTCAAAATGTGTCTAGTCAACAGTATTGGAGAAGAAAGATACATTCTTTCCATGCACCTTCAAAACAGTTTTTCCCAAATTATATCATTTAGAATATTTTTTTTCTAAATAATCTACAAAACTTACTTGCCACTTGTCAGGTTGCCAGGTAATAGGCATTCCATCCCCCTTCTTATTCTAGTGAGGTGACTGGCAGAAGCAGTGAATACACAGAGCAGAGATACAGAACCAGAATTTCAATGCCAGCTTGATTTAGAAAAAAGTCAGGGACAACTTTCAATAGCGACAAATTGAGCAGGAAACTGGCCTGACTCTATATCCAGTCCCTTGCAGTGATACTTGAAGAACAGCTACAAGGTAAAGAAACAAATAAACCATAAGAAAGATAAACCACTGTTTTTGCCATTTGAGTACTCATAATCGGTGGCTTCGCTGAAACAATAAAGTTTCAGATGTTTTTGAAGCTGTTCTTATCTGACTGGTATGGGCTATCTTTGATCTTTTTTGAGTCTGGTGGTAATTAGGTCACACTTTTGGTGTTTTGTCTTCATAATTTAGCTGGAGAATTCTGAGGTCCTTCATGTAAGGGCTAACTTGAAGAGAGCTCTGCTGCAGTCCCTGGCTAACATTGGTGGTGCTTACACTTTATTTTGAAAGTAGGAGGTGTGTGTTGAACTGCCAATGAAAATAAGTCCTGATTCCTGGAGCCGTGGCACAAAAGCTGCAGAAGGTCTGAACTTTCTCTGGTGGGGTGGATGTTGTCTCCACCTCCGTCTGGTTTTGTCTTCAGTGAAGTTCAGCATCAGCACTCAATTTTTTATCTTCTCTCTACAGAAGCGGTTCCCAACCTTTTTTGGCCTGTGACCCCATTTTGACATCACAAATTTCTGGTGACCCCATAGACATTTTTTTTTTTCTAGAATTAATTTTTGGTCATGTTTGTTATACTGTACTGTGTTGCAAATACATAGCAGCCAGATTAGTGCACATTTTATTTTCCCTCATCACATGTACAGTTAGGTGAGCTTGTCTTTACAAGGCTGAAGGTGATCGCGATCATTTTATTTAACTCATTTATATTTAATTATTTATTGATATTTATGAACATGAGATAATACAGTTGTTTAAGATTGTATGTGGTGTTTTAATAATAATTTTTTAAAGAATAATAATTAGTTGAAAAAATATTTTTATCAGTAATTTATTTTTTACCAATTTCTAGACATTTCAGGGGACCCCATTTGAATTCCAGGCGACCCCACGGTTGAAAAACACTGCTTTACAGCATCCTCCAACAGCCATCCTCTGATAAACATGCGGATGGACACATCTTTGAATGAAGAATGGAAGAAGACGTGGGTACGTACCGATAAAGGGTGAAAAGTGAAACAGGAGAGATTTATGATGTTTCAAAAGCTCGATCAGACCCTACATATTTGAATAGAAGATGTCCAAGTCTTTCTATTGGTCAGGGGAAAAAAATATCATAGTTCATCTGACGGTTTTTAACGTAGTAATCGTAAAAAAAAAAAAAAAAAAAGTAATACTGTTTTCTTGGCAGCCGGGACATAATAAACTTCGGTCTCTGGCGATGTTTGCCCCATAATAAGCACTCCACACTTGGCCTCAGCTAAAATAACTCCTGTAGCCGGGAGGAATTTGGAACAGACCGTTAAATGCAACTGTGTAAATTTCAGGCCTGATCCTTCGCTGCCCGTGTGGCCATAGGGTCCCTGGGAAGGTTTTCCACCACGCCGCAGCTGAGAGCACTGCATGGCCCCCACCTCAGAGCGTCCCACTGGCGCAGTGCCCTCCGCTGCCTATCAACATTCCCCAGCGGAACGCAGGCCGCGTTCCCATCGGCTCTCTAACCAAACTATGAAACAGGAGAGAGAGCTCTTTTTCCAGTTGCCTGTTTTCGCCAAAAAAATCACAAATATTAATCCATTATGCAGGTTGATTTATTTTTACAGACTCTAATGGGCAATGTTAGTGCTGTGATTGGTCGTTAATTTGATTTAACTACTTTAAAAAACGAATTACTTACAGTAGTTAAAATATAGCAGTAGACCAGAAACAGGGCTGCTTCTGATGGAACTGGTTCCAGTTGCCGTCCTGAAGCCCCGCAATATTGAAACACCACTTACTGCCATGACTGCACCTTGTGAGCCATATATAAGGTACAGACCCACTGCACTCTATTTTTCTTTCCCAGCTGATCTACATCTTACATTTGATAGCCCAAAAAAAACTGCCCCACAGTTGCCCCTCATTTTTTTTCCCATGCATCATTTCTACTAAGAATCCATGTTTTAAAAATACACACTTACCAGCTGTATATGGAAACGGCTATCAGTAAAAAATCTGTAAAGAGAAATGCCTGTGCTCTTCTGCTCTGAATGGGCTCTCTGGAATGTGCCTGCAAAGCCCTTTCAGAAAGGGTTTCTAATCTCCACTGTGCTGAAAAAATGCAGCATCTGAAGGCAGGAGATGAAAGGGAGCCACATCCTTGACGACGAGAACGTGGAAAAAAGCCCCCATCTGCGATCTGCAGATCCTCCTTCTCAAAGAGCTCATCCTGCTTGCACAAGGTCAAAAGCAAGGCAATAGACTTAGATTACGCAAGTGTTAATGAGCACAAGCCATTTTGTGCCAGCGTCATTCCCGTTAATCATTTTTAGTCCTTGATACAATTGTTGATGAGCCTTTTTAGGTGATGTTCTGATGTTGGGGAGTTCAATAGCAACATTTAAACTATGTCTAACTTTTATTTTTGGCCTTTGACAACGAGTTAGGACACAAGCAAATGTTCCACTGTCAGCAACTTCTTGTTAACAGAAAATCATTTAAAATATTTTATGTCTGTTCTTTTGAATTGATTTCTATAGAACCTTTTGCCAAAGTCTACCGCACAGCCCATGAACAGAAAAAGCCCCTTTTGTTAGCAGAAAGAGCACAATCTCATGACTCCTGTTACCCCTGAACTCTCTCCAGGCTGCATTTACCCAGACTCGTGGTTGAGCGTTGATATTTAATAATCGCCAACAGACATTAGCAACTGAGGCCCACGCTTTTTCAGGCAGCCCAGTGAAAGGCCCCCGGACTGTGGGGGAGGGCACTCCCAGAGGCCCCCAAACAGCTGAAGCCCCCTCTGTGTTGCCTTTTCCCCTTCACACTGCAAAAGGCATCCGCTGAGTTAATAGACTGGAGTGGCCCAGAAAAAGGACTGCTTCAAAAGTAGATTCCCCTAAAACAGATTTTTGTGAGCAAGTGTGTGTGTGGGGGGGGGGGGTGTGGATATGTGGAGGCACAACGGATGCAATCCAGTCCAGAAAATCTCACTTTCACCTCCTGAAACCCAGGAACAGAGTCCTCCACAGTCCCAGTCTTCCAAGAACCACTTTTGCACTCTTATCCTGTTGATCCAGTAAAGAAAAACACAGCAACGCCAGTTTGGGTAGAAACACAATAAGGGGTTTGCTTTGGGGTTGGGAAGTAAGATGAGAAGGAGAACTGTTTTTTTTTTTGATGTGTTTTCTTTCCTGGAGAGGTGAGGCAGGGCTAAAATTTACAGCATGATACAGAGCGCCCTCTGGTGCTGATTCTTAACCACTACTCATCAGGGGGTTCAGCTTTTCGTTTCATTCAATGATGAAAAAATTTAGTAACAGTAACTTGCAATACTTCTTAAACACACCTATATTGAAACTTTACTGCAAAATCTGGTTATAAGAAAAGTAATATACTTTGATATGGATACTTGTAGGTGTAAGGGATTACAATTCACTGAATATGTAGGCTTGGTTCCAAAGACAGGGTGGCAAGATGGTTCAGTGGGTGGATGAAATACCATCAAATTAAAAAAATAATGGAGTAGCATCACATATCATTGTGTAGCACTGTTGCCACTCATCTGCATTGGGGGTTTGTGTAGAGTTTGCATGTTTTTCCTGCGTCATGTGGGCCGCTGAGTAGCCAAAAGACACATGTGTAATCTGCCCACAGCGTGTGCCCCCCCGAGGTGGACAGGCATCAGGCCCGTGGGGGCTCTCCAGCCTTGCATCTGGGGCATCTTGGGGAAAATGCCAGGCTTTGTAAAGGACAAATGGTTATGGAAAATTATCTAAGCAAAAGTTACAAAATTGGGAGCAAAATACTTGGCGCAACACTGCCACTTCTATTCATTAACAAGACGCTTCAGTTTTATTCAATTAAACCGACAATAATGAAATATAATTTACAAAAGAGAAGTAAGAGAGCTATGTAAATCAGTAACAGTCCACAATATTGTCCTCTGGTGTGTGAGAAGATGCCAATATATCCTGCAATAGGGAACGAGGACTGTTCTCCAAGTGATCACTTCTTTGATCCAAAGCCTGTTTCATCTCCTCCAGATCCAAAGTTGAAAGTAGCTCCACAATGTTAACATGCATGGCGGAATCAGATGCAGCGCTAAAGCATCGCTTCACCATTTCTTGCCCCCACCTACATCCCTGCAGATCAAAGGCCACCGTGTTGTCTGAGGTGTCCGTGTTTCCCGTGAGCACCCCCTTCAGGTAGAGCAGGATAGTGCATGCCTTTCTGGCCACCGGCCTGTCACAATCCAACAAGCCAGAGAAAAGCACGTCGAAGAGCTTGTGATGGTGCAGGTTGTGAAAAGCTGCTGTTATTTCTGCCCGCTTAACATGGGGAGCAGGAATGACAGACACATAAGGACATGAGGACCGGCCAAAATCTTCCAGAGTTTGGTCGATCAGGATTTGAGCCAGTTCCAAAGTATGGATTTTGACTTCCCAGTCTAAGTCATTACTACCAAGCCGCAGCACTGTGCTTAGATGTTTCTCCAAACTCTTACACAGATCTTGGTTAGGATGCTTAAGCCAAATGGAGAAGATCTTTATCACCGCTCTCCTTGCAAATCCTTCTGTATCCTGAGCTAAAATATCCAGAAAACGTGCAGAGAGGTCCTCCTGAAATTAAATATTTCACTCTAGTTACAACAGAAGTACAATTTGAGAATGGAATTTAGAACATTTGTTTTCTACAACCAGTGAACAGTATTTCTATATTATTTCACTCGCAGTCTGCAGAACAGATGAAAAACGGTCATCTGTAGGCTGGGAACTACCTCTTGGCTTATGATATGGGCAGTCTGCCCCAGAGCGGAGATGGCACTCGCTCGGACGTAGCTCTCTGGATCAGTCAGCAAAGCCATCAGGGAGTCAATGAGCCCACTGTTCGAAAGGCTCCCACGATAACTGGCATCATCTATTGAAATAAACAAGCATATCTGAAACGCAGGTTGCCCATTGAGGATTGAGAAATGCATGAGCGTAGGTCCCACGACCCCAACCAGGACAAGTGGATGGATGGATGAGTACACGTTATACTCATAATGAGATATCACTAAGCCCACCTTTAAATTGTAACGTCAACTGAGTGAAGAACTCAAGGGACGAATCCCTCATCTCCCACCGTACGTCACAGAATCGTTTCTTCAACAAAGGGAACAGATCTGAGCAGGATGGAACATGAATGAATATAGTTACTGTAAGGCTCTCACTAACAACACTTCTGCAATCCAGCACAAGATGATCTTCACAGCTGTCTATGAAAGTTTTGCCACCTTGATTAAGAAACAAGCCAGCTGCAGATGACTGAGAACATGTACAGAGCCAGTTCAAAGCTGCCTGAAGTGCCTTCTTGAATACCTGAAAGTATAATGGCAAACTCAATTATATAACACAAAGAATACAATAGCATTAAATATTGTAAACCATTTTCTGTTAACAGAGAGCAAAATAACTTACAGTTGGATCAGAATCAGGATTTTCTAAATATGACAGAAGAACACTGAAGAGCTCACCAACATACCGATTTACTCCTGGCAAAGAGACATAACAACCAAGTCAAAACTCAGATTTTTAACTCTGCGATGTTATGGTTGTTTGCGGAATAACACTGGCCTACCTGAGCATTTGTTAAGGCTTGACAGGGTGTCCAGAGCACACTTCTGAACTCGAGTGCAGCCAATGAGTTTCCTGACAGCTCTGCCAGCGGAAGATGAAAATGAACTTCCCTGACACACTTTTAGCACGGCAATCACCGAGAGGACGACAGAGGACACGCAAAGCTCCTCACATGAGGACTCCTGGGGGGAGGAAGACATGGCGTTATTACCCTGCTCATTTTTAAATTAGCATCAATTGTTGTTATGAAGATTGTATGTACAGGAAATTATTGTGGCAAAAAAACTGATGTCTTGTACACGTCTACACATTTTTTCAGATCAAATCATGCAATAAATGATTGAAAGAAAAAAAAACTGCTAGGTCTACATACTAGGAGAAGCTCAGCGGCGCTGGTCAATGACAAGCAGAGGACTGAGACGTAAGAGGACGTCTGGGTAAGATCCTCCTCCCAGGCTACGTGTGGAAAGTCACAATCTTTGAGGAGACCTATTTTTTGGAGAAGACCGGTGAACTGGTCCATATGGAAGCACCCTCAAAACAGTCAGGCTCTTCTGAAATGTTTCTCTTGGCTTTTAAAAATATTACCTGAAGGTTCTTGCTTCGGGTCGGCCAGCATTCCGACTCGCCCAAGGGGTTGGAGAATGACGGCCATGGCCTTCTTCTTCAAACTTTGTGGGCTACGAGGCAACAGGCGTTCAACATAGCATATTTACTACTGCAGTATGTAGGAGAAATACAGAAATAATATGCAAATTAAACTGACTGTAGATTACAGTAGTTACCAGCTTTCCATATGAATTACCCCTTTAGCAAATGGAATCGCCACCTTTGGGTTTAGAGTGCATAGCATGTCTTCCATTAATGTTGTAATACTGGGATTTCCACTGCTAAGTAAAGGTGTCCTGAAAGAAAATTGGGAATACTAAATCACATGAATTCCACCCTATCAATTAATTTCCACATGTGACGACAGTCATCTGGTTAATGACGATAAACCACACCTGGAAGCCGCATGTAGCGTTTCAAGAAAAGGCTGTATCAAAGAGTTTCCATCATTGCCCTTCAATGCCTCTAGTGTCCCCACTGTCCCCTGCCAAAATGTGTCCCTGACGTGTGGTGGACACTGGGCAAGACTTGAAGCAATCAAGTTCAAGGACCGCTGAATATGCATAGGGTTGCCAGACGTCAGCGAGGCCTCCACGTGCTGGACTATCTCCATGATGCCATCTGTATATACTGGCGAATCACAGTCCTCGCAAACCTTGCGTTCGCCCCTCTGGTCTATTGTGGCACCCTCTCCTATGAGTGGCAATCTGTCCGATAGCCCGGGGAAGCTCAAAATGCCAGCCAACAGCCGGTTTGCTGCCGACGCCACAAAAAGGCTTCTGTCTAACTGCAAATGCAGGATAACTTTGATAAATCCTGTGGAAACACAGAGACTATTTTAGGGATCAGAGACCAAAAACTTAATTGTTACAACAACAGAGTGCAGTCACATGCTGGGACTTTTGCCCCAATTGCACAGTACACACTGCTCTGGCGCAGACAAATTAAACACCAACTGCAGTACACAGGAGTAAGTGTGTAGTAAACATTTACAATCATTGCATGTTCCCAGCCAATAAACAAAAACAAAAAAAACACATTTATCTTGCTTGCATGAAAACTAGTATCTTAATGCCCTATTGCCATAACTGTGCACCCATTTTCCCATATCTACCGTTCTCAAACAGGAAGTGCATAGCTTTCCAATGCTGCAGCATATTCCAAAGTCCATGAATCCATCCACTGCGGACTGTTGCATCCTGCCAGAGACTCAATCCAGCCCATTCCTGATATTCAAACGCACATGTCAAAATTCCCTGTTGCTTGGATTAAAAAAAGAAGAAAAACAATTAGTAAAATTTTATGTGAAAAAAATCAACCAGCCAATAAAAGCAGTGTTTGGGTTAGGTAGTACCTTGAGGTGGATGAAGCCTTGCTCACTGGACGCCAACAGCCCGGCAAGCTTAAGGCTGAAGGCAAAGACACTTGGCTCTGCAGAGCCTGATCTGCACATGTCAGATAGGAAAGCAGACAGGCATGGGTTCAGCTCCAGTAACGATATTCCAGGAACTGCAATATTCAGATACGCCCAAATCAGACAAGAACTGCAGGCATACACTACACAATTACCACTATTAACGATAGTGGCAAAATGTTATGTCAATTAAATATGCATCAAATAATTGCATGTTTAATCCTCTATGTTAGATCTCTCAGGTCCTGTTACTCAAAAGCATTGTGTTACTACAATTGTCAGGTTCTATGGAACAATCACTATAATTCTTTTAAGAAACTCTCATCTTTCACCATGAACTGTACTAATAGAGTAGTAAACTAAACACTTAAATGAGTTGCAACTGAGGGGGGATTTGTAACCATGAGCTTGGCACTTAATTCGTCAGCGAACAGAAACATGAAGGGGGGTAACATCATGGACTGTGCATGCAGATTTGGGCAAAAGTGTAAAACACGTGATCACCATTTATTTGCACTTAACGTATATAAATGGCTGCTTCATATTTGAACGAATATCGGCTTTTAGTGAAGCATCTCACCCTGGCCGGTTAGATCTGCCAGCCAATCCAGCAGTTTCTCTAGGCACGTATCATCAGCAATCGCTTGATTAGGGTCTGCCAGGACCGCGCAAACCTGCGGCAGTAGTTCAGTGCAGTCACTGTCCATCGCTCTATGCAGGACAGCAAGCACGAGAAGAAATGAAAATAAACTTGATCAGAACAATCACATATCACTTTTCAGAAATTATGTGAAGGATTCAAAACAGTGGATGAATTACCGCGTAACAAAAATACAGATAGTGGTTTATACCAGATTTATTAATTCCTAATTTATCTAAAACTACTTCAGCCACGCATCAATCAATTCAGCATTCACTTTTATTACACTTGATATTTTTGATAGACAATGCAGCAATAACATGTAGCAAATATCATACTCTCTCTGTTGCATATTTCCGCGATCTCATATATACCTGCATGAACATGCCACGAACTGCGAGAAACTCCCTTTCTGCAATACGGAGTCAAAAACTATAGTGAGCGTCCATTTTGGGATTATACCAAAATAACCACAGGGGGATCTTCCTACTATAAGATAATATATACTAAATGCCGTGATGGTGTGTTTATATTCAGTTCATTGATTTTATAAAAGAGTCTTTTAAAACTTTTTTTTTTATCTCTTTAACATGAGTTCGTGTGGGCAATTTATGCTTAAACTCATGCACATTTACATGTCACCCCTCCAAATTCTTTAAGGTATGGTCCGTCCCCCCATCTTGCTCCTTGGCGCCGGGTGTTCCGCACATGGTTGGCCGAGTGAAGTCTTCATTCTAGACACACTAATCATATTTATGTATTGTACAGGACATTTAGACAGCTAGTTAAATGCAGGACACGGAGGACATGGCGGCCGAATCCGGGTTCGAGGGTGAAGAACCTTCATTTAGTGATCCGGAGGATTTTGTGGATGATATCGATGAAGAAGGTATTGGAAAGGTCGGCCATGCGGCCTTGTGCTATAAATGCTGGTAGCAGAATTGCACCGGATACTGTCTGTACCTGCTTTTCTTTCTTCCGTGCCATTGATTAGAATTTATTCATCAACTATATATACCATAAACTTGGTCAGGAATATATTCCTAAATGCGGCATTTTTACTCGCTTACAACAGGGTTGTGTCTGGCCTAGTCATCTGATAGTAAGCCAGATATGCACGGCAGTGAAAAATGTCATAAACTACGTTGCTAAGTTAAAATGGGCACTACAGGCATGATTATCATTGAATGTAATATCGGAAATAATTTTAAGGAGAAAAAAAATCGCCGTGATGATTTTTGTCAATTCAGGACAAGTGATGCCAGCTTCGATGACAAAATTGGGTGTGATTGTTGGTTTGTCTATAGAAAAGCGACGTCATTGAAGCTTACAGACACTTATTTTTTCTCTAAAGATGTACCCGTCCCAGTAATTGTAATTGCACATGGTGCCTATTAAATGTGGCACCATTTCACTCCTGTGACCCCACACTTCTTGCTCTTTCTCCACCCTAGAGCTTCTGGGTGATGTCCTGAAGGAGAGACCGCAGGAGGCCGATGGAATCGATTCGGTGATCGTGGTGGACAATGTGCCCCAGGTTGGACCTGAACGTCTGGAAAAGCTAAAGACTGTCATCCACAAGATTTTCTCAAAATTTGGGAAGATCACGAATGAGTTCTACCCTGAAGCTGAGGGCAAGACCAAGGGGTTAGTATGGCTTATTTCATAACTTAGGGCAGTGTTTCTCAAACCGGTCTTTGGGGACCCCCAGATGGTCCATGTATTTGTTCTCTCCCAACTCCCAGGGAACTGGGAGAGCAAAAATGTGGACCGTTTGCAGGTCCCGGAGGACTGGTTTGAGAAACACTGATGTAAAGCATGTAGATGCAGCAGTTTGTGAATGTTCTGCAGATCTTCATGACAATGATGAAGGCTTGTTTTATTTCTCTGGCAGGTACATTTTTCTGGAGTACACTTCTCCTGCACAGGCAGCTGAAGCGGTGAAAAATGCAGATGGCTACAAGCTGGACAAGCAGCACACCTTTCGAGTGAATCTCTTCACTGATTTCGATAAGTATGTCATCACTGGCACTTCTGTGTTTTACCGTTTTCTTTCTCTCTATGTCTACCTGCCTACATTCCGAAAGGTCAAGTAATTGGTGGGAACTGCTGTTAACATGTGAACAAAAACACTTGTAGGTATATGACGATCTGTGACGAATGGGAAACTCCAGAAAAACAGCCGTTCAAAGATTTTGTGAGTATTTACCTCGAGGGAGTAACCCGCTCGCCAGCTTCGTCTGAGTGGATTTAGGTTCTTCACTGGAGCCATTTCTCTCGTTTTCAGGGAAACCTGCGACACTGGTTGGAGGATCCTGACTGCCGGGATCAGTACAGCGTCATTTTTGAAGCTGGGGAGAGAACGGGAATATTTTCAAATGATGTTAAAGAACCGATCTTGACTGAGGAGAGGCCTGTGAGTTACGTTGGCAGTATGAATTAAAACAGATCTAGCCATCTTTGTCTGTGATGTTCTATGCTGAGTGCAGTTGTTTGACACCGTCGCTCTCTCTGCACTTTGTGATGTCACCCGCAGCGCTGGACGGAGACATACGTTAGGTGGTCCCCTAAAGGCACCTACCTGGCCACATTTCATCAGAGGGGCATTGCACTTTGGGGTGGAGAGAAGTTCAAGCAGATCCAGAGATTCAGTCACCAAGGGGTGCAGCTTATTGACTTCTCTCCATGCGAAAGGTATTCTGGGAAATGCAGCACATGTAGAATATTTAATGCCAAGGAAATGCAATTTGCGTAGACGATTTGTTAGTAATTGAATTGCAGTGACAGTATATTGTTCATTTTGTAGGTACATGGTTACGTTCAGCCCTCTCGTAGACATGAAAGATGACCCTCAGGCTATCATAATCTGGGATGTCCTTACTGGACAGAAGAAGAGAGGCTTCCATTGTGAAAGTTCTGCCCACTGGCCAATCTTCAAGTAAGGAATTTTCTAGAGCATTAGGATGCTTGAGTCAAATCGTTTAAAACTATGTTATAGTTTGGTTCTTCTGAAAGACATCATCCCTGTAGTAGACCTTGTTTATAGTGCATGTTCACTTAGAGGATCTGATGTAGACTGAAATCTTTCATCTTTTGATGGGTTTGCATTGCTAGAGTCATACACAATCACTGTCACAGAAATAATACTGCCAGCTGGATTAGTGTCACATCACCCCTAACCCCCTCCCTGAAACTGCACATCCTAAACACCACATCGCTGGTTTTCCAGGTGGAGTCACGATGGGAAGTTCTTCGCTCGGATGACTCAGGACACGCTGAGCATATATGAGACTCCTGTAAGACCTCCGTTACATAAACAAATACTCTAAGATCCACTGATGCTTGTGTTCCTCCCTGAATGATGGAGATTATCAGTTCACCACCCCATAACACAGCATTTAACATTTACATTTCTTTTGCCACTTTTCTAGTCAATGGGACTATTGGACAAGAAGAGTTTGAAGATTAGTGGGATTAAGTGAGTAAAATTTTTATTTGATTTTCATATTATGTGCGTTGAAGTGATGATGTTCTTCGTAGGCGTTAGATGTTAAAAGCTAGAGAAACTGCTATAGGCATGCTTATGTGGCATTTGTGCTCAGGGCACATTGGTGGTTCTGTGTAACCCTACTAGGGTTCTGTATCTCTGTTACTCTGGGTTCTTCTGTTAAATAACAGGAAGGAAAAGCCTTCAACAAGCATTATGGCTGTGATTTTTGTCTATCCTGATCCTCTTCCAACTGTTAAGCCTGTTAAGATGTAGCGCTAATTATTCTTTTTCTTGTGGAGTTTCTTTAAAACTGAAAGTTGGCAATGTAATCATAATGGCATCCGATACACGTTTTTGTAAAGCTGTCTGGTGCCAGGCCTGCAGGTGGCAGTGTGGTTAAGGACAGACTCTGATTAGAAGGTTGCTACTGCTTGGAAGCTCTCTGCTCTGCTTTTGTGAAGGCGTCTGCTGAGAAGCTGTGTGCCATTTACAGGGATTTCTCCTGGTCTCCCGGCGACAACATCATTGCATTCTGGGTCCCAGAGGATAAAGATATCCCGGCAAGAGTGACCCTGATGCAGATTCCGTCCAGGCACGAGATCCGTGTGCGGAACCTCTTCAATGTAGTGGATTGCAAGCTTCACTGGCAGAAGAATGGAGATTACCTGTGTGTGAAGGTGGACAGGACACCTAGGGGTGCTCAGGTATGGCTGTGCTTCTCCTTCAGTCATTAGCACAGTCATCGCTTAAGGCTGTAATAGGGGATGTAACTTGGGTTCTGTAAAGTTTTAAATGTCAAACTTTTAGCTGTCTCTTACACTTGTACACAGTGCAATGTGCAGTGAAATGCATTGTAGCCTTACCCCAAACTCTGAACATGAGGCATACAAGGTATAAATGGACAGGACACAGGATATTAAACAGTAATCAGAAATATGCATTATGGGCACTTGGCAAGTGGCAGGTAGTGCATTTACATACAGGTTTCCCCACAATTACTGTCCGCATTTCGTTCTGTAATACAGGACATTAAATGGTTTGGACATTGATCAAATATTACCATAGTCACTTAGAAAGTTTAGGCTACTCTGCCCTGCCGTAGTGTAAGATGCCCTTAATTACTGTACTAAGGAGTTTAGATACTTTGCAAATAGTGCTCTATTTGAAACTTTATTATGGATTATTAAAGTACAATATGAAAACATTTAGTACAGTACTGTTTAGTAATTCCTATCTATTTTTTATAAAAGATGACACACATAGCACATAGTAAACAGTGTGTAGTAAGAAGTTTCATATTGAAAGATTTATTTGATATATATTCATTTTGTATAACAGAACACTTTTTCACTAACTTTTTACTTTCAATTTCACATTTTAAACATTATTGTTTAAACTTTAAACTTATTGTACTTCTGGCCTGAAAGGGTGATGCTGTTTCTTTTATTTCAAGGGTGTTGTGACCAACTTTGAAATCTTCAGGATGAGAGAGAAGCAGGTTCCAGTAGACGTGGTGGAGATGAAAGGTTAGTCCTCATGAAGTGTCTCTTTATTGTTGCTGGTCATTGTCATCTGTCGGGGCCTTTCGACGTCTTAGTGAAAATGTAATCTTACAGAGAGCATCATCGCTTTTGCCTGGGAGCCGAATGGCAGTAAGTTTGCTGTGCTGCATGGAGAGTCTCCTAGGATCAGCGTGTCATTCTACCATGTGAAGAGCAATGGGAAGATTGAGCTGATAAGTATGCATCGTGCTTTGTAACCCTAAAATTATGGCCTGGTTAGTCTTCTGCATCTTGTGTAGGAATTAAACACCCTTTTTTTTGACAGAAATGTTTGACAAACAGCAAGCAAACAGCATTTTCTGGAGCCCACAGGGTCAGTTCCTGGTGCTGGCTGGACTCAGGAGGTCAGTAGCTCTCGTATGCCCAAAAAATAGTGTGCAATAAACACACATCCTCCTTTAGAATTTATGCTTTCAGATATTTAAGGCTTCCATAATGGAAAGTAATATTCCTGCCAATAGTCTCGCTTCAGTGTTTTGGGGCTCCTCAGTTTGTTACCTTTTTTCGGACAGTATGAATGGTGCTCTGGCATTCGTTGACACGTCAGACTGCACGATGATGAACATCGCAGAACACTATATGGCTTCAGATGTGGAGTGGGACCCAACCGGTAGATACGTGGTCACCTCGGTTTCTTGGTGGAGCCACAAGGTAAGTTATCTCTCCTCTCTCTCCCTCCCAGATTTGTATGGTATTAAGATCCCATCACGTGAATGAAGTCTGAAAGGATTGTGGGTGTTTTTTTTAATAGGTGGACAACGCATTTTGGCTTTGGACGTTCCAAGGGCGCCTCCTTCAGAAGAACAACAAGGATCGGTTTTGCCAGCTGCTGTGGAGACCACGTCCTGCAACTCTTCTCAGCCAGGAGCAGATCAAGGTGAATTATAGGTGGAAGTTTTAGAGAATTACTTGGTCAACTGTGTCTTGGATTGTTTTTTTCCTTGTCCTTGAATGGTTTAATGCTCTTTCTCATAAAAGCTTATCAAGAAGGATCTGAAGAGATACGCAAAGATTTTTGAGCAGAAGGATCGTCTGAGTCAGTCCAAGGCATCAAAGGTAATTTTCATGCTTCAGTGTTGTCTCTCCCCCCAAGCTGTCAATCAGCTACATAACTGGGCGCTTTCACACCAAAGTTCCTGAACCTGGTCCCGGGCTGTCTTGACCAGGAACTTTTGTAGCTCCTGGCCACTTTTGTGAGTCTCACCACACAACAGGAACTGGAACCTTTATGCTAAATAAGTATGGGAGACGCAAAAAGTTTGCAGGATAAACTTCACACATAATTTCATATGAAACTACACCACCAGGCCAAAACAATGGGAGGATAAATAAGTTGTTTTGTTAGTTACTTGTTAATTATTTGGGGGGGGGGGTCTTTCTTAATCAAAATGGGAAACAGCCTATTATATTTATATTTTATTTATCTGAGACATGTTCATGATTCTTTTCCAATCTAGTCAGCAGATCGATCTTTAGTTCTGCACAGAATAAAAAAAACTGTAATGTTATCCACTAGTAAGCGCTGGCAAGTTTCACTGCCGGCACCAACAATACTAGACAAAGGTATATAACGATTGAATTTTCTGATGCAGAAATATGGAGAGACAAGCAGAAAATGTATTAATTGATGCATTAAATCTAATTGGGGTGCAGAAATAATTCCATTTGCTTGATTCTTTTGCTCCGCTAATTATACATCTTTTTCTGCACGTCTGTGTAACTTCTAAGTTAGTGCTGGTATTTGTGGTCAACCAATCGGCGAGCCATCACTGTAAGAGACTCCCCAGTAGTTCACGTTTGAACAAAAAGTACCTAGTTTGGAGTAGGAACTAAAAAAGGTCTCTGGGAACTGCCTCAGAGGCGCTACAATCTATAATACAAAGTTCTCGCGGTGTGAACACTACAAAAGTCCCTGGTTCAGGAAAAAGGTTCTCGTTCCAGAAAAGGTTCCGGTGGTGTGAAATTGCCTAAACTTTCCCTAACTAACCCTAACCCATGGTTTTATTAAACAGGAACTAATCGATAAAAGACAGACCATGATGGAAGACTATCGCAAGTACCGTGCTGCTGCAATGCAGCTGTACCAAGAGCAGAGACCTCTTCGTCTGGAGATCAGGGGAGGTATGTGTTGTTGCACCATCTCCAGAAAAGGGTTTTTGTACTAGTGATGTAATGAGGCAAGCCTCAGAACAGTCTGCAGAGGAGCTATGTGGGTTTAAAACTAGACGTTCACTTCATTTGGTAGGTTTCGCTAAACCTTTAGAATTAATTACACCTTCATTTACACTTGTGTTTTTATATAATTACGAGTAAATTTGCTGTTTCACCATTTTTACTTCGCACTGTTTCTTAGGTGTGGACACAGATGAACTGGATAGTAATGTTGATGACTGGGAGGAAGAGACCATTGAATTTTTCATCAATGAAGAAATTATTCCACTTGGAGATCTGGCGTGATTTTGGGTAATGGAGTTAAGCTATTCCGTGGTTTTCGCGGAGGCCAGCGAAATGTTTTCCAGTTCCCCGGGTCGTAACGTAAATGAAGCCTACCCAGTTACGTCAGAATGATAAATATAATGTGAATGTATATGACTATGCTTGCCGCCCCCTTGGCTGTGCAGTTTTCATAAGAAATATGTATCTGTAATAATGTTAAGATGTTGACTGCTGTTGTTTTTTTTTTTTGACAGCCAATTACCCTGAGAAGATCTTTTGCAGCAAAGCACGCAGATTTTTGTGGTGTCTACAAATTCCATGCTCCGCCTTTATCCTGATATGATACAGCATATAGTGCCTTTTAATGTTAATGTCAATAACCATTGATGGCGAATTTTGGGTGTTGGTCATTTTGCACCACTTGGATCTTAGGAAACAGCTACACGTTAGATCATTCGTACATTTAGTTTTTCTACTTTTCAGATTTATACTTCCATTTTGTTTTAACTGCATTTACAGCAGTTTTAAAGATTCTTGAACAAAAAGGAGCATTATGTCATGTTTTACCACAGTCTGTGTTATCAGTGAATTTGAAATGAACAGCGCCTCCTGCAGGTCACCAGAAGTGTTCACACAAATTTTAGTGTCCAGCTCTAAAATGGACTGAATGCTCCCCCACCTGGAAATGATGACCTTATATTAAATGTGCTACAAATTAAAAGATAAAAATGGTGTTTGTTAGATTTCTTTGGTAAGTTTTTTAAAAGACAAGCTAATTAAATATAGGTTAAAACAAATTGTTTAACTTTGTAGTAATCTACCATGTCTAACAATGAAAATAAGTTTATTATACTAACCTGTATGTTGCTGTGGAAGGGAAAAATAGGTTTGTATTTTGCTATATTTCACATAAGCCAAATGAATGGAGTTTTGTCCTACATAAACAATCATGTTGGAATATTAACTCTGTGGGCAACTTTCTTGAGCTGGAAAGTAAAGTCCTGTTTGGGTTTTTCACATCCATTTCTGCTGATATATTAAAACTGGTACCAGCCTGGTGCTCAGAAAAAAACATAAAGCAAGTTATCCGATTTAGCTTTGCTAATGGGTTTAAGTGATGTCAGTTCCTACTGCAACTGAATCTAGAAATGAAGTGTGGACCTTTTGGATGATTTTGCAAAGCTGATCAGCAGCTTGGTTCTGTACTGTATTAATTTGAACTTGCATAGACATTTTAGAGGAAGTTGAAATGAACATGTACATTTTCTTGGTACACTTCAGATCCAAAGGTGTAGTTCTGAATCAGGGTGCCTGTTCTCATTAGTGTCTGTGAACATGTGTGAGTGCCCTGTGACACACTGTACAGTGTACACTCCTCTGTGGCTTAGCTTCCCTCTTCACTGTACATTCTGGAATACTGAAAGCACTGTAGAGGGCCTTAAAGGATGGATTCAGTTACTTCAAGCTATTGAATAACTAATCAGTGAGAGAAAAATATGGTTATTGTATAACAATATGGTTATATTTTCTGTTTGTTCTGCAAGTTTGAAATTGTTGAGTTTTAATCCGTCCGTTTTCCAGCTGCTTATCCAGTGCAGGGTTATGTGAGGCCCTGGAAATGATCTCAGGCAGTTTAGGTTTGAGACAAGAGAACACATTGGTAAAGGATGCCAGTTCATCACAGACCACAAAGGAAGAACATCAAACTCAATACCCACGTAGCAGGGTGGAATGTGAACCCTATCCCTAAATGCAACACTGCTATCAGCTTGCCTTTGTTTTGTGGTAGGTCAGTGTACTACTGTAGTACATCTTTGAGATGGTTGCGTCAGAAATAGTATGATGGAAAGCTTAGACTAATAGGCTAGTCTGCCTTGTATTAAATAGAATGTGATTGGCATCTATCGAAATCTCCACGTAGAGTTACTGGTAATATATTTCTAATTACAATGCAATTAAAGGACAAATTCATATGACGTGGGTGCACATCCCGTTTACGAAGAACACCCCTGATGTGCGTCAGGACGTCGTTTCCGTGGTAACGGCCAAGCTATTGGAAGCGCAAATTCGCGTAAACAAAGCAAGTGAAGTCGGCTCAGCTCTTCACTACGTGTTAAAAATTGCGCAGCGTGTTATTTTAATTAAAACAGATATTCATACAGTAATAACGCATGCGGAAGCGCTTTAAATGAGTAGTAATATCGCATAAATTTCATACCCTTATTGGATTATGGAATGGATGTCAGATTGATGGAGCCAGACTTTCGGTTGAGTCATTTTCAATAGTTAGCTGAATTCTCTTATTTTTACTGAGTGCTATATGCATTTGTATTGCTTAACTCTATTTTACTGTACGGTCGTATTCATTATTTATTGTATCCCATTTGAAGTTATACCCGTTTTACATTTGACGTAGTTTATTGTGGTTTGTGAAACAGGCAACTTAAGCCAAAATGATTTTTTGAACAGAAAAATTAATTCAAGTTTACCTATCTAATATTTAAGCTTATGTTTTCTTAATTGGAAAAAGCTCGTCATGTTACCATCTCTTGCTAGAAGTATGTATAATTATGAGTATGGATATCGGAATGGCTGTCTAATCCATCGGGATACTAACAGTCTTCCCATCGTATTTTTTGAAGCAGATTTCTTTCATTACAGCCTAAATATAGTATGATGTGTGAGCTGGGGAAGAGTAACTGTCCGGATGCCTAAGTGCACACAAATAAGCATATGAAATAAACATTTTAAGTGATAATAGGCTACATCTGAGAAGTGTCTAGAACGTAAACTCAAAATTCTACCCATATAAATACTGTGATATTAAGTATCGATGACTTTTAGAAGCAGACAGGTGACAGACAATCTTTCGTTGCCGTTAATATCCAGTTTATACCGTAATAGTAAGCAAACAGTCAGAGTTACTGTCAACAGCAGCATGATACAGACTGGTGTTCTATGAATATAGAGAAATATGCATTAACGAGTCTCTTAAAATTAACAGATGAAAGTATGTAAAATACGGACTGAGCGCGCAACAATCTGAACTAACGAGGCAACATGAAAGACCTGACAGGAGACTCCAAGGACCACCAGCTGACGGTGAGACGTTTTACATGAGGATGCCAATGAGCATTTCCAGCCTTATATTACCATGCATGATTATGATGTAGGTTTGTTAATTGAGCTGTGTGATTAATGAAGTTATGATTTCTTTCCTGTTGTCATGAGATGTTGCTCTAATTGCAATTTACATGTAGTGTCATTTCAAGAAGCAATTACAATTTTTAATCAAAGAGATAGTGTGCAATTTATATTAGATGTGTAATATGCAATCTATCAGAAAGTGAGAAACAAATTTGAGTATCACTTTAATTGTGGGGGCACAAGTCACTTATAACTCAATTACCACTCATGTACAAATCATGAACAAATATACCAGCTGCATGAAATTCATGACCGTTAAGTATAATTAATGATGAATGAACATGGGATCATGCAGTATGTAACCAACTCTCAGTTTCTGGTTAATTAATCAAATTAAGAGTATACTACTACGTTATTTGTGCCCACTCAAAGTGTTACCCAAATTCGCTTTGGATATGCATAGTAAGAAGTGGCTGGTAGGGAACTATTTTGAATATTCACCGGATGGTATTGGTTTAATATCCGGTAAATAACTGGAAAGTTAAATATTTGATCAATCATGCAAGATAATTGACAGTGAGGTGAAAAGGGCATTAGATGTTTGAGTGCTTTATGTTCGGCGTTTTACTACAGGTGGCCCTGCGTATTCGTCCAATGAACGAGGCTGAAATGGAGGAGGGGGCTGCCGTGATAGCCCACAAGGTGGATGAGCAGGTGGGCTTGATTATAAGTTTTATAAGCCATCTGAATGAGGCAGAAGGGCTGATATGCAGTTATACACATAGACCCTTTCAATGGTTGCTTTTCTCTGAATGAGCATTTTCAGCACAAAGATAGTGGTCTGTCTTTAGCTAGCAGTTGGATCTTTATTGGTTAAAATGATTTTATTCAGGCAACAAGATGTCAGTCCCTCCCCTATTGAGAAACTGTGTTTACTGAACCTGTAAAGCTAGTGGTTTAAAAAAAAAGGTAAATTCACTATTTTATTGTGCTTTTTTTTTGCAATTCATTTGAAAGTTGGGTCAGTTCCTTAATGATATTATTAAGTAAAATACAACACAATGTACAGTGAATGTATCACACAATCCTAATATTACAGATCACGCCCATTGACGTTTTTGACCTTTTTCTATGCTTCACCTGATCTGTGCTTCTCCACAAATATCTCCTGCAAGTTCCTTGCTGCCCATTATTGAGTGTAGTCTGAGATGGTCCTCAATGAAGGAGGGGCAGCTGTCTTTTTCCTGGAAGCTAATTAATCTTTGTGTTCCCTGGAAGGCAACAGGTTATACCTAAACATGGTAATGAAGGCTCAGTCAAGGACTTTCTGTAAGGCGGCTGCTTTTGGTTTAGGTGGTGAAGGCAGATCTTGGTTCACTGGATAACACTTTTCAGAAGTATTAAATCAAAGGTAGTCTTATGATTAAGTATTAAGCAATAAAATACATGCACACTGCATAGTGTTGAGATTGAGAACAATGAAAAAATGTTCAGAGAAAGCAGTGCAATATGTGTGTGGCATGTAAAAGACTGATGTCGTTTAATTTCATTGTAGATGGTCGTTCTTATGGACCCTTGTGAGGACCCCGATGATGTTTTGCGAGCTCATCGTTCAAGAGAGAAAACATACATGTTTGATGTAACTTTCGACTGTACAGCCAATCAGGTTTGTCTTCCTCTCAGACCATGCGATATGCATTTAGGTACATGGTCTACAATACAATTCAGAAATTGCACAATTTAACATGTGATGATTTAATAAAATTACATCCAAATATGAATGGATTCTGCTCAGATTTGATTGGATGTGACTTATCAACTTAAGTTTACTTATGAAATAAAAAATACTAAAAATTTTTCAAAACAAGTCACTGTTTTTATTGGTTTTTGGTTTATTTATTTTGGGGGAGGTTTGAGTCAATGCATGTTTTTCACACGAATCTGTATTATCACCAGTATGCTTCATAATATTGGATTTTAATATTGTTAATTTCTAATGCAGGCATTAACATCCTTGACATTCTTGAATGCATTTTCAATTTTATGCAATTAGAAATATGCATGTTTCATGTTTCTTGTCAGTGTTTTAGCAAGTAATTTTCCTTCTTTAGGATGATATTTATGTGGCCACCACCAAGAACTTAATTGAAGGGGTTATTTCCGGTTACAACGCCACAGTTTTTGCATATGGACCAACAGGTACACATAAATACATTGATATTTTAGGAAGGATCAGCGTTTGTATTAGCATAGCATTAGTATACATGTGCAGGTGGAGTATAAATCTGATGTTCCTCTTTTTGTCTCAGGTACAGGAAAGACTTATACGATGCTGGGCCTTGACTCTGAGCCAGGAATCTATATTCGAACACTGAATGATCTTTTCAAAGTTATTGAGGAAAACAGCGAGGACATGGATTGCAGTGTCTATATGTCATATCTGGAGGTGAATATGCTCCTCTGATATACATACATATACATATATATATAAGCGTGTGTGTGTGTGTATGACCGGGATTCGAGTCTCCACCATGGCTCTATGTGTGGAGTTTGCCTGTTCACCCCCATGTCATTGTGGGATTTCCTTCAGGTACTCTGGTTCCCAGCCCACCCCCAAAGTTGAAAAACATGTGGTGGGTAATTGGAGTTCTATGTGTGAATGGATGGTGTGTAATTGTGCCCTGTGATGGGTTGGTGCCCCATCCTGGGTTGTTCCCTGCTTTGTGCCCTGTGATGGGTTGGTGCTCCATCCTGGGTTGTTCCCTGCCTTGTGCCCTGTGATGGGTTGGCGCCCCATCCTGGGTTGTTCCCTGCCTTGTACCTGTAGCCTCCAGGATAGGCTTTGGACCCCCACTTACCCTAAACAGGACAAGTGGTTATGGAAGATGGATGGATGGTTATTATAGTCTTTACATCTACCTAAACGTATCCCCTCTTTATTTCTTCATTAGATCTACAATGAGATGATCCGTGACCTTTTGAATCCCTCGTCAGGGTATCTTGATCTAAGAGAGGACTCCAAAGGCGAAATCCGTATCGCAGGCATCACCGAATTCTCTACAAGCAACGCAAGGGAGGTAAACGCTAATCCCAGAACATCAAAAGATGGGATGTAGGCTCGGCTGAAGAGTAACATTTTGGCTCTAGTGCATGCAATTGTGTTTCTGTTTCAACTATTTTATCATCACTTCCTGCTGTAGTCACTCACTACTTTATCTTACGCTATGTTGCAATGCGGCACAGATTACAGAACTGGTTTTATTGCCTGCTGTGTTGTTGGTATTTGTTCTTCAGAATTACTGAAGGTGGTTCATCATTTTTTTGTAAAGTGTTGGTGTGTCAACAGACTATTTATTAATTTTTTTAGATTCAGCTTTTAAGTTCTTTACCCCTGTTAAGATTTATGTGTATGCCTTACATCTAGGGTGGCCACCTAATCCATGTCACGATGAGCTACTTCAGGTTTCACAAACTACTTTAAAACTGAAAGGCTCCTTTGCTTGGCTGAATGGTTTAGTTCTTCTTGTGCTTTGACTGGTTTGTTTCCTTGATTGAAAAACTCATCTAGCTTTTCCACATTAACATTATCTGATAGTGATATATGATATGACACATGCACGATTATAGGAGACTAGCCAATCAGCACACAGCAAGAACTCAGTTCTAAAATGAAATCCAGGTTTTTTTTAATTGAAATGGATTAAATGGTAATTTGCAACTCTGTCCTAGCTCATAGTGTCCCCCTGACATGGATTAGGAGGTCACAGTACTTACAGCCATATAGTATCAGTGTTTGTGGGCTATAACTAGGCAACAGTGACAAATTAGTGAATTTATAACCGATTTAGAAAGTGTCAAGAAGAGGGAACTTGGGCGTGTCTTGCCAAGTGGCTGAAGTTGGGAGAAGCAGCACTTCTTTGGGTCGGAGTGTGACATCTCGTGTTTTGAAGCCTTCATGGAAAGAGTGGCTGTCAATCAATCCCCGTCGGCTAAGTGTTGTGTTCCGTGACAGATAATGCAGCTGCTCACCAAGGGAAATAAGCAAAGGACCCAGGAGCCCACCGCTGCCAACAAGACGTCGTCTCGCTCTCATGCCATCCTGCAGGTGACAGTGAAGCAGAAGAGCAGGCTGAAGGGAACCAGTCAGGAGGTACGGGTGGGCAAGCTCTTCATGGTGGACCTAGCAGGAACTGAGAGAGCTTCGCAGGTAGGCTGCTTGTCGGATTAGCTATTTTCCCCACTACATCTCAAATCTTCACCAAAATACATGGTGTCTCATTGGTTCTCTTGTTAACTAAGCAGTAGAGATAAGCAGGGAGAGAGCCGAGGGCGGCTCTGGGGTCAGGCGATATCTGAGGCCAGAAATTGTCACGCATCATGACACGCTAAAAGGGATTGTGAAAATGATCGTAAAAAAAAGATCAGGGCTTTACTAAAAGTACTTGGGGCTTAAGCCTAGTAAACCCACCCCTGGTCCCGCCCATGGGCAGAGCCACTCACAAAGGAAGTAAGCAGTGTGAAAATTAACATAAGCCAAAATGTTTCTTAAAATGTTCAGCCCCGTTTAGAATATTTCAAATGTTTTAAGCCATGTGGTGCATTTATTCTTCTAAATAAGAACAAGCAATAGTTTTTTATTATACCAATAAAATTCTGTGGAACCTCATAGTGACAAATTGCATTGACTGTTTAGGTGCCCTGTCTTTATTTTATTCACAGCTTCTCCGTTTCTTTCGTAGACCCAGAACAGGGGAAAGCGGATGAAAGAGGGAGCTCACATTAATCGCTCCCTGCTGGCCTTGGCAAACTGTATTAACGCACTGAGTGACAAAGCTGGACGGGCCACGCAGTTTGTCAATTACAGGGACAGTAAGCTCACCCGTTTGCTAAAGGTAAGATCCGTAAGAAGAGCACCACCCAGACCGTCCATGTGAGGACGCGGGTGTGAAATCCAAATTCTCTCTTATCTGAATCTTCAGCCTGTCAAGAGGATCCAGCATGTCATGCTCGCCTTGAGTAACACATAAAGGATGTGTCAGCCTAAAGTGTCAATGTGTCAGATTGCCCCCAATAATTATCCGGCTTGGTTTGAAAGAGCTTTTATGAGTGGGTCTTTTCATGGGCTATTTATTTCCACTCTTCTATTTTCTTGATTTATTTTGTCAGGTGTTTCCCTTTTCGTTTCTTTGACCCCAGGATGCTTTGGGTGGGAACAGCAGGACGGTGATGATCACTCACATAAGTCCAGCCAGTACTAACTTTGAGGAATCCAGAAATACTCTCATGTATGCAGACAAGGCCAAGAACATTAAAACTAAAGTAAGAATCTGACAGCAATGTATTACTGTTTTGTAAGTATAAAAAACAGACAGCTACATATGGGAAATCATTGGGCGGATAATTACAAATAAAAACCAATTGTCTTTCATTTTTTTAGGATAAATTGTAACAATAGATACATCAGTTAATTCAGTCTTAACATTGCATGAAGCTAAAGACTTATTTTTGTATGTTAAATGAATAGTTATGCAAGTCTATGTTGCAGATTTTTCACTTGACTTTTAAAGTACATATTTCTTGCATTCAGTAGTATTAATAACATTTTCTTTTTTTTTTTTATAATGCGAAGGTGAAACGCAACCTGCTAAATGTGTCCTACCATATAGCGCAGTACACGAGCATCATTGCAGAGCTTCGCAAAGAGATTGAGAGATTACAAGCCAAGATAGAAGAACAGGGCCAGGAGCAGCTGAGGAAAGGAGACAAGGCTGACATACGTGATGTCCAAGGTACTCACTTACATACCTCAAGACATCACTGTCGTTTATCCAGATAGAGCAGTGTTGACACTAAAAACCCTAACCCTAAACCTAACCCTAACCCAGTTTGGTCCTTGTGGACCCACAGACAGTCCACTTTTTTTTACTTGGGACCTGGGAGGGAGCAAAAATGTGCACTCTGGCAGGTAGCTGGGAGGGAGCAAAAATGTGGACCATCTGTGAGTCCCCAAGAGCCCGATTGGGAAACATTGAGATATAGGTTTGATATCTGGCTCCAGCCTGACTGTGGACTTTGCATGGTCTGTCCTTGTTGCCTTGGGGTTTCTTCTGGGTTTCCCCCCAGAGTCCAAAAACATGCTGAGGTTAGTTGGAGTTGCCAAATTGCCCCCAGGTGTGCCTGTGTGCGTGTCCCCTGTGATGGCTTGGCGCCTCATCATGGGTTATTCCCTGTGTTGCTCCTGTAGCTTCTGAAACTCCGTGTCGGACAAGTACATACAGAAAATGGATGGATCCGGATGTTCACAGGGCCTACAGTATGTTGAAGTTAACTAGGCCCTAGCTTTTCTTGGAGGGGTTCCTTACTGGTGACTGAGAGTTGGCTCTGGGTATCGTTTGCAGCAGAAGTGCAGCAGCACTCGGCCCAGTACAGCCACAGGGAGATGGGTCGGCTGCGTGAGCAACTGCTCTGCGCTTTCCGAGAGCAGATGGAGATACGTCGCAGCCTGATGGAGCTGGAGAACTGCAATATGGAGCTGCATATTGACACATCCAGGCACCTGGCCACCATCTCAGAGTGAGACTCCTCTACATTTAGTATAGTGGATGTTTTTAGGCACTGGGATACTCTCAGTTATTTTCCTCTGACTTCTGTCCTTATCAAGGTGTTTTCAGCCACAGAAATGTCCCTGACTGAATGTCTCATGTTTATCACACCATGCTCTATAAACTCTAGCCACTGTATTACATGAAAATTAACCTGAATGTAACTGAACCTCTTGACCCTGCGTTCTGTGTGTTAAAATGCAGGTACACTAATAAACTACCCACTGAGTTTATATTTTTAAGGCTAGGTGTTTTTGTAATGCTCTTTTTCCATTAAACGTTGAGACGGTTGGACATTTGTAGCATTGGCTAAGGGTTTATTTTAATTGCGACATTTGTAATGATGCAAGGTTTTACGGTAAACAGTTGCACATCATGAAGAAGCTTACAGTGTCCCGCATGCTGCTATACTGAGACAGACCCTAGTATTGTCTGTCTCAGTATAGCAGCACTGCACTATAGTACTGTGTTGTGCCAAAGTCTCCTGCAGTCAAAAAAAAGATTTTAAAATTATATGTTCATGAAGATTCATCATGTCTGTTGAAGAATGTCAGCTTAGCCATTTCGAAACCTCTCCTAAAATCACCCAGTATTTGCAGCAACCATCTGATACACCCATGTACTTTTTGACTTGACCACTCGCATACCATGTGTGGCTGATCAATACCTTTTTGGATTACTAATTAAGCTAATTAACTGAGCTGGTAGTGAGAATGAACAAATAACTGGAATGGCTGAGGTGCCCTTGATGAGAGGTTTGGGAACTGAAGCGGTGTTCATCTAGTCATCTAACGAGATATCAGCAACTCTTTGGAGAAGATACCAAATTCCTGATAGTTTTTATTATGTTGCTGTTAATTTGCATATGTTCTAATGCTAAATTGTGTGTTTTTTTTTTTTCCTGAGGAAACATACACTTACTACCCAGATAAATAGCTTTAAACACTTCCTTTGGATTTTGCACAGTGCTGTGTATCTCCCTGCTCCTTGGTGAGCATGTGGTATCTCTTATGCTCTGGTGACACTCACTTCTCTCTGTGGAAGCTGGGAAAGGGAGAAGGCAAGGTGTGCTAAGAAATGGAGGGAGGAGGGGCGCAGTGGGAAGATGGACAGAGACAAGGAGGACGGGGAGCAGGACAGCGAGGCTGAGGAGATGGACTCGGCCGAGCCCCAGGATGTGGCATTGGCTCGGGAAGAGATCGGCACGCTGCTCAAGGAACAGAGGAGAACCATGGCCCTGAAGGTATCACCGAGTAAACTGCGGTTCACTTACGTCTGCTTGGTTTTTATTTATCCTATATTTTTGGGTGGTGTATAGATCAGCAAGTTAGGGATCTTTGCCCATGTCCAGAAGGTCATTGGTTTAAATCCCTTGGCTGGCAAAGTAATTATATTACAGTTTAGCCCTTGACCGAGACTTAACTCCAACTGCTTCAGGGGTGCTGACCCTGCGCTTGAACCCCAAATGTTGCTCTCGCCTCTATTTATGTGTGAACCTGCATCTCTCATGGGTGGGATGGACGGGAGAGATGAATGAAGTACGACTGCTCTGTTAATGGAGTGTCTTTGCCCGGTAACCCTTAGTCAGATCTGGAGGAGAAACTGGCAAGCATGAATATCAAGTCGTCGAAGATGGAGGAGCTGCTGCCCAGGCGAATCAGCAACGAGGAGCAGCGGGAGATCCTGGCGCTGCTGTGCCGGGTGCACGAGCTGGAGGTGGAGAACACGGAGATCCAGTCAGCAGTGCTGTGCAAGGAAAATGTCCTGCGCACCAAGGACTTCACCATCCAGCGCTACGAACAACACCGCTCACTGTGTCATGAGATCATCCAGCGGCAGAAAAGCCTCATCGAAGGTGACTGACTTACAACCCATGATTCTGTTTGATTGCTGTTTGCTTATAGGCAGCCTGGTGGTTCAATTAATAGCACCATTGCCTCTCACCTCCCGGGTCAGGAGTTGAATCCCATCTGTGCTCTGTGTATGTGTGGGGTTTGTATGTTCTTCCTGTGATTTGAGGGTTTCTTCTCACACAACCTTGGCCAAGATAAGCAGTTATATGATGGATGGTGTTTGCTTTCGGAATTGAGACTATTACCCAGCTCCATTTGCCTTCAGTCAGAGGTTTCTGAAGGGGCTTCCCCATAAGCACTGATGCTAATCCTGTAGCTTTCTTAAAACCCACATTTCTTTGGTATCCAATAAATGACAATATTTCTATCTGTCTTTTTCCAGAACATTCCATCCCAGTACCCCTGGAGCTCGAGCAGCTGTACATGGTGTATTTCAGTGAATTGAATGGAAGCATCGACCAAATCCTCGGTCTCCATAACATCACATCCAGCACGATGCAGGCAAGACTTTCTGGTTTCATTCCCTCATGGTTCTTACATCATGTCTGATAGTATAAGTACAGTAAGCTAGTCATGGAGCATGGCAGGTCACTAATCAGCATGTTATGTCAATAGTTAGAGTCTTAACACATCACTATTGCTGCCTTCCATTTCAACTGGGAAGCTGGAATTTCCGTGTTTTTAGTCGGACATTTCAATAGGAACGTCCCCTGAAGTCAGAATTCCAATTCACTAAGTTGGAGGAACCTCTAGAACCCCAACCTAAGAATTCAAGATGGCTGCGTCCTTTATCAACAGAAGTGAAATCTGTAGTTATATACTGTATAGCACTTATATTTTATTTGTGTTGCATTAAATCGATCATTCACATAGCACTGTCCAACCTCTATCTGTTTTTTCTATGTGCAAAATACTGCATAATGCATTGTTATCAACTGATGTTGCTAACAATGGGTAATGATGAACCTGGCTAGAACTGGTACTGCTAAATGTCTTTCCGACTTGTACTGGAATGCGGTTAACTTAGGCATGATGTAATTCCCAACTCCGACCTCTGAGGTGAATGGAACGCAGCATAATTATCAGGCACACAGAAAGTCAGTGAAATTACAGTCAATGTGCGCACATCTTAACGACTGGAGGCAGTGAATAGCTTTCACGTGACGCATGCATGAATGCTGACCACGCAGTCACTTTTTTATCTTTAGAACGGATCAATATTAGATATAGCAAAACAGCTGAAGCTGGGAGATTTGATTCCTGAAATGGAATCAAACGATGACCGTAGCCATAGGTCAGCCACTGAAGAGGATAAAAGGTCTACTTTTCCACAGAATTATGATCCACTTCCTCCATCTGAACTGGATAATGAAAGGTAAATAGAAAAATACTTACAGGCAAGTTTTCTTCAGCCATGACGCTGTAGATCAGAGGTTCTCAATCTTTTTTGCACCGCAACCCTATTTTTACCATGCCAGCCCAGTCGCTACCCCATATCAAGTACAGGTTTAAATTAACGCTATGATCAAATAGGCACTGCACACTCTGTGTTTTATGCCAATCAATGCCTGTCGCAGAAATCTGATTGGATGTGCCAGTGAATTTTAAATTAAGCATCTGTGGTTTGGCTTCTTGGATTGGTTGGAATTTGGGTTACAGCCCCATGGGTTGAGAATCACTGCTGTATATAAAAACCAATATATAAAAATTCTGACCTACATTGACAGGTTAATACATTTACTGACGCAAAAGTGTGAATCACTCTGATATATGCATTTATCTTAATACCGTTTTTTCATCTTAGTGAAAACGACAAAGTATTTAAATCCACTTTTAAGTCCCATCAAATGAAGAGTGGTCATATCTTCTCCACTCCCCTTTCATTAAATCAGGTAATGCTACACTGACATTAATTAGAAGGAATTACTGCATTGCCGTTTCCGCAAATGTGCACTCATTCTACGCCTGGGCCTTCTTCAGGTCGGAGCTGAAAAGATGAAGGAGATCTCGTCTGACACCAGGAGCATTTCCGTCATTGCAGCTAAGCGGCGCACACGCATGAACACCGTGATGTCAACCAGCGGCCTCTCCAGGGCCAAGGAGAGGAGCCTGATGTCAGTGCAGTCCCTGGAGGAAGCAGATGAGTCGGACGGGGCTGCCTCAGAGCCCCAGGGGACCCCACTAACCACCGCCGTCAGGCCGGCTGTCAGCAGCCACAGCCTGGCCCTATACACTCCGATTGAGTTGGATCCCAAGAGGAGATCCCGGAGGCTGCAGGGAAGCTCCCGTTCCAGCTCCAAGAAGGATCCACACCGGGGGGAGAGGAGGAACATCTCCATCGAGAGACGCGCACGCAAGAAGCGCTCGAAATCTTTCGAGGCTAATGCTAAATGGGTGAGCTTCTGGCAGCGAGCTTGACATGTGATGATGATACTTTATTGATCCTTAGGTGAGAGCATGCTCGTTAGTGAAGGGCTGCCACCTGTAGATTAAGGGCCTTGCTCAAGGGCCCACAGGCATGTGCCTATTCTACCGAGGCCACGCTCAAACTGGCGACCTTCCAATCACAGACAGAGAGGCTTATCCCACTGCGCCGCTCGCTATATCATACATTATCATGTCCCTCCTTGGCCTGCCTGGAGAGGAAGGAGGATTACTGAGGGCCCTCACATGTAGGGGTTAAAAATGGAGTAGAGATTAGAGTGGAAGTTGTTCGTATTCATCCCAGTAGAGCTAAATTTCAAATGATGAAATTTCTAATTACAGAATATCGACCCCAATGCTTAACAGAAGTGATGTTCTGTAGCAGAGATGTGGTGCAACATGGAGGGGGGGGGGGGGGGGTGTCGGTTTTCTGTTAGTTAGTCCGTGTGGTGATTTTTCACTACAGAAGACTGAAGGTCTGTAACTACAATGGAGCTGCAGATGATTGTCGTTTTTTTTCTAAGGCAGTGGCAGATCTTTCCGGAATGCCGGTCTGTCACTGTTCTGCTCAGCTCCAGATTTTCCTTCCGCTTGTTCCACCCCCACAGAAACCCAAGATCATTGCTTCCAGGAATCCAGTCCTTGAAAGCATCTCAGACAACAGACTTGTACTGCACTCAGAAAATGCAAACAGGTACTTGGGAAAGCATGTGGAAGATTCCTCACTGCCACCCCCAGCAACAAAGGTTAAATACCCCGTGTCTCATTACACAGGTATGGTGCTTTTAATTAAATTAAAACAATTATGGCGGAAAATGTTTGTAGACAACTGTAATTAACAGAAAATAAATGAGCTTTACTGGTAATACTTTACTCGACGGGGCACAAATACTCATTAAATAAATACTACTTAAATACAAATTATAAACAAATCATGAACAAATATAGTTTTTACTTGAGAGAAAAGATGTCACGATTCGTTAATGAGGAACAAACATGAGATCAGTATCTCACTTGTGTTTTTCATTACTTGTTCCTTCAATAGTTTTAGGTTTACAGAATTAACAGATGAATTAACATGAGATCAGTAGGTAACTAAAATTTAGTTTGTGGTTAATTAATACATAAGTAATAGTATAATACTATATTATTTATGTTCCATCGAGTAAAGTTTACTGCCTGCTTGAAGTTAAAAGCTCAAAGATCTGAGCCCTGCCACCAGGAATGACATTATGATGTGAAAAATTAAAACTGGCCAAGGAATGGAGATGCAATCAGAGAGGTTATCTCGAAAGTCCATCATATAAGGCATGACTCATATCTGCATTATGAGGGCAGAGAAACAGCTACAGTAGATCACGCTGTAAACAGTACGTGGTTTATTTTTTGCCTTGACTTCAGTGCATCCTATAAAAGTGTGTAAAATGTTTACGTTGTAACGCAAGTTGCTGTATGTGTGCGTCATGTGCTACGTGAGACTTACTGAGGTGGCCATTTCCAGGCGAAAGCCACCTCCAGAAGCTGGAGATGAGAAGCACCCCTCCTAGCGCCGTATACCAGTACAACGCGGAGGGCAGAAGAGGGCAGACCGTGCACAAGCGCGTCAGAGGTCTGGCCACTGGGCCACAGTGCCCTGCATATGGGTGTTAAGGTCTTGCTTACATCATAGTGCAGTGTCTGACCACTATGATGCAGGGACATTTATGAAAGTGAATGAGAACATACTGTTTAATTAGTGTACATTTATGCTTCCCTAAAATGGCTTTAGCTACATCCCTGCTATGATGTACCTCTGTTTACTGCCCAGGCCCAACGGAACCATCAAGCACGAACCAGCTTCTTCTGCAGCCTGGAAACTACAAACGGATGCCCGTCTTCAACATTAGACACAAGGGCACGGCCCTCAGAAGTGACAGCCGCTACAAGAAAGGGGCATACTGAGGAAAGGGAGAGATTACACACTGCTATCCCTCATATGTGCAGAGACTGGTGGGTCATCTGTGACACAGTGTGTGTATGTGAGCAATGCTGGAAAAAGTTAGCTTTCAGATTCACTGAGCACTTCATCACTTTAAACCGATGTTCCCCAATCCAGTCCTTGTGGACCCACAGCCAGTCCATGTTTTTGCTACCCGGGAGCTGGGAGGGAGAAAAAATGTGGAATGTCTGTCAGGGAGCTTGGAGGGAGCAAAAATATGGTCCGACTGTGGGTCCCCAAGGATTGGATTGGGAAACACTGCTTTAAACACATTCCTCATGATCTCATCTTTTGATATACTTCTTAGGCAGTGCATGTTGTGTAACGATTATATCTTTCCTACTCCTTTATTTTTGTGGAAAATGAGTTCCATATTGAAACCGCTTAATATATTTGATGAGTGAAAGATATTTGTTGATCCATGCCTGTTACATATATGAATTATATAGGAAAAGCCCAAACAGATACAGCGCTGCAGCACCAAACTCCATATGGTTTGTAAAATTGCATTAATGCTATTGTTAAAGAACAGAAATGTAGCACAGAGACCAAGTGAGATTTTCAATGTGTATTTCAGTGTAATTAAAATGGCCTGTGTTTATACTGCAAACATTCGAAGGAGTTTTTTAATCCACTTTGTGTGTGCTTTCAGTGGATTGAGTGAGCCTTCCGTTTACCCTTTTATAATATTGATTGAAGCCACCTATTAAATTTACAGTTTCATTTCATAGTTATTTCTCCTTTCATTAGGACTCACCTCTGTCAGAAGTACCTGTATGTCTTTAATTGTGATTTTGAGGTACCATTACTCATATTATTCATTTTATGAAGCGGTGTCCTGTCATTTCTACATATCCAGTTACGGATAACAGAGGCTAGTTTGCAAACCATAGAGGCAAGACAGGGCACACAGTCGATGACACACAGTGGATTATATGCCGCCAACAAACCCTAACATCAGGAAAGTGGCCCAGGCAGATGAATGGAGCACCCTGATGGGATGCCCAGATAGGGCATGATGGGATACACAGATAGGGCATGATGGGATACCCAGATAGGGCATGACGGGATGCTCAGATAGGGCATGATGGGATACCCAGATAGGGCATGATGGGATGCTCAGATAGGGCAGGGGTCTGATTTAAGCCAAAGAAAGGAAACTGCACCAGCTGATCACAGAAATAAGCACAAGGGTTTACTCAGTTTAAAGAGCTCCAAAAATATGCCCGTATGTACATACTGTCATTTAATTTAAATAACCCATAGTTTCACCCACAGTGCTCATAACATGGAATTATCAGACTGCTGTAGTTCTCTGCTGTTTTAATTGCCTTTTTCCAACTCTTTACTTAGTGTAATAATGTATGGTACTGTTTGAGTTATCTGGTACATGCTTGCATAAGGCTAATTCCTCAGGTGTTCAATTACTAGTGGGATACGAAGGTCTGTATTAAGTGCAAAATATATCTGCTGATTTGCACATTGAAGTTTAAATGGATTCTCACCGACAGTTAAATACACAGTATCTACCACTAGGTGGAAGCAATGTACCGTGTGATACAATTAACTTGGTATCAATATTTTAGCTTCATGTCCTGCCAATAGCCGTTAACTCAGCTGTTAATCATTGAAGAGGAAGGAGATTGAGAAGTGAATCTATAAGGTTTTCAAATTGGCAATGTCATATAATAGCTTATTCTCATGGATTACTGGTTATACTAACAGGTATGAAAACTGTATAACAAGTGTAACGCACAATAGTGATCTACCTGCATCAGCAGGTGCCCATTGCTCTGGTACTTAGATTCTAATGGTGTCAGATGCATATGGCTGATTCCCTTAATGACAAAGAGCAGCTTTCACATCCATGCACAGCAGTGCATTATAGGTATGTTGGCATAGCTGATAAGAAATGTAGGCATCTGAAAGACGCAGGGATAGACTACAGCAGACAGCTCGCTAAATGTGTTATGGAGCAGGAGCTGAGCAGCTACGGCTTGGGGAAAGGTCAGGGTGGTTACAGGAAAGCCTTTCTCAGCATTCGCTCTGACGGCTCGGTCACAGACCCTCCACTTTTTTGAAGCTGTAAAATTCTGCTTCACGCGATTCAAGCCGGTGGCGTTGGTGAGAAAGTGCATCAGGAGGCAAGTTAATAAAGATCCCATGTTGACATAGGATGTAGATGATTGAGTGAGGTGAAGATTTGCAGATACCAAGTGGTGTATAAAATATGCATCGCGGTTACACTTTTCACTTGTACATGGAAGAAATTATAATTGTTCACCATTACTCATTAAAGGATGCAGCTCACAGAGAAACCATCCCATAATCTTAGTAAACAATACATCAGGGATGGCGACACACAAGCACCAGATAATGACATTTCTGTTCTAGATACATATAAGCTGTTTACTGCTCTGTAGTTTTACCCCTCAATAAAAATATATATTTCAATAAATGCCTTTTTCAAACATAAACTTTATTTTATTCATTATTTAGATGCATTTGTCTTGTTTATTATTATGTTTAATTAATGCTGTTTATATTGTAATGTATCTCGCCATACAGACGTGTTTGACTTACTTGCATGTATTGCAAGGCCTGTATAGCGTTCTCATGTGTCACATATTGCTTATTTGATAGATAACAACAAATAATGTTTTCCTGTATTGGTAGTAATGTTTTATTTAATCAGTCCTTATTGCCTACATTTGTTAGTTCAGCCACAACTTAAGGCATCGAACGAGGTCTTACGGAGAAAGACACACTGATGTTGAGGCGAAAATCACATAAGCAATTTTACCTCATTTTTTTCCAGTATGTCCTTTGAAAAATGGAACACTTTTATGGTAGATTATCGAACCTTGTGGAATCCAACAGGAGTACAACAGAATAATTAGCAGCATTGTCAGTTTGGTGCTTCTGCAACTTGATGTCATTAATAAACACAGAAGATTTACTAAATCCATCCACCTTCCGCCTGCTTATACTGCGTTGGTTTGCAGGGGCAATGACTATATTAGTTAAATCTACATGTTTTTTTTTTTTTATATTTACAACATTACACATAATGGTTGCACATACTGACCCCACGTTCAACCTGTGGAGATTCTCAAAGTATGAAATCATGAATTAATGATATTTCAGGGTATATCTGAGGCACATTTTAAGACAGTGAAAGGTCCCGTTTCACAGTCACAAAAGCACTGGTGTGTTCTGAGTACCTGTCTACAGCAATGGTCAATCAATTAGACATCCAGCTTTCCACAATTAAATGTACCTTAATCAGCTACTCCGCCTGGTAGCTAAAGTTCAGATGGATGAATGATAAATGAAACCATCATTTTTTTCTGATTTAAAAAAAAACAATATGTTCTTAAGATTATTTATTTATTAAATTTAATTTGTCATTCCTATACAGTTCTTGCTGACGTACCTTGAGTGAATCTCCCTGTTAATGTGATAATTAAGTTAAATTCTTAAAATTCAACATATGTGAATCTCTTTACGATTTATCACATAGGGTTCTGCATATGTCAGTCATTCACGGGGTATGTAAAGTAATCCTTGCAATATCCCAGAGTCTCAGTGCAGGTGTTTAGATAGCGTAGATTAATAATGCATTTGTTCTGTCTTAAGCAAATGTTAGTGTTAGTTATCTCCAATTAACAGCTGACTCCCTTCATGTATAAACAGGTAATTAGGGGAATAGATAAGCCACTTGCTTTGGGACCTAACGTTATATGACACCTGTTAATTGCTGATTTCCAATGGTGAAATTTACATCATTCTCCCAGTAAATTTTTTTTTTTTGCACTGGGACTTGTGGTTTTCAATACAAGAAGAGGAACACGCAGTACAAAAGTGGGAAATGGGAACACAATGAAGTCAAGGCAAGTCAAGCGGGGCTTTATTGTCAAATCAAACATATACAGTAACACAGTGCATGATGGCACAAAATAATGGTCCCCAGGACGTGCAAAAAAAATAAAAAATAAAAAAAGAAAACAAGATATGACAATAATTAACACATTTTAATTTAATTTAATTTAATTTAATTTAAGCGTGAACAATCTGCAATGTTTAGAATAGAGATGGAAGCAGCAGAGTTGCACATAAATAGTATGAATGACTGAATAATAAATAAACATCTGAGCACTAAATAATAATAAATAATGAGTATTGGTAGAAATGGCATTAGAGTGACACTGCAAAGTTAACTCCAAATCTGTGTAGAGGAAGCCAGCGAAGAGCTCAGAGCCTGAATGACCATGGGGCAGAAGTTGCTGCAGAGTCTGGCAGAATGGGCTCAGATGCTCCGGAACCTTCTGCCAGATGGAAGAGGGACACGGAGACTGTGGGAAGGGTAGGAGCTGTCCTCTATTTAGCTGGAGGCCTTACAAGTAGAACCTTTCATAAACATGTCATCAATGGAGGAACTAGCTATTTCTGGGTCTTGTGGTCAGAGGTGTTGCAGTTTCCAAAGCTCACAGTGATATAGCTGGTCAGGACACTCTCAGTGATGCCCCTCTCAGATCTTAACGCCTCTCAAGCCAGTCCTGTTGTCATTATATTGTGCATCAAGGGTTTCTTCTTAACTTTCCTGAGTATTATAATTAAAAATTATACATGGTCTCATAAAGGAACATCTGGTGCGTACTCGTAAATAAATGGAAGGTTGTGATGATGAACACCTTGAAATTTAATTATGTGGAAAATATGAAAGGAAAATTAGTCAGTGTGATTATCCAGACCACACCCACGAATGCAGAAATATGCATTTGTAAATATTAATTTATATGCAAATTGTGAATACTGATGATTTGCTGCTGTAATGCAAATGCTTTTCTGTAAGATTTATATACTATGTATGGAAAAATCATATTCTACTACTCTTGCTGAAGCAATAATAGAATGCTTCAAACTTGGGCTATACAAAAAAGAGAATCTTTTTTTCAGTGTGAAACTTCAACTTCAGATCAGTCATTTGTATTTTTACATTTTCAGATGTTAAATAAAAAATTGAAAACTTGGACTTATTAGTGAATTATATAAATGCCGTTTCAAATGAGATTTGTACAGCATGTGCTTATTTTTATGCCTGTCATAATAATTATAATAAATATATATTATATTTAACAGAATTATATGCATGACAGTGAGACACTCAGTTGCTCAGCAAAAATAATGTTTTCTGGCATGTGGATGTCCTGCCTCATTGGTATTTGTGTGAAGTGCTGAGCTTAATCACAATCCAATGTGTCAATTACAGGAAGGAATCGTTCATTACTCTCCCGGAACAAGGCTGGTATAATGGAATCTGCTTTACTTTCAAGGTTCATTGATTACACCTTAGAAAAGCCTTGTTTATTGCAATGGGCCTGAACCTTTAACCACAAGCTTTATGGTAGTTGACTGCATTTACAATGACGTTTAAGATATTTTTTATTCTTTTTCAATGAATTTCTTTGGACCAGTATCATGATTATGCAGAACTATCAATAAAATACATTTAGCAAACATTTTAAAGTGAGAAATGTAACATCTAAAACAGAAATATCAAAGTCTCTCCAAGTGTCACAGGTATCTATATGGTATGTATGATTTGTATGAGCTATGGTCATGAGCTGTGGGTAGTGACCGAAAGAACGAGGACGCGAGTACAAGCGGCCGAAATGGGTTTCCTCCACAGGGTGGCTGGGCTCTCCCTTAGAGATAGGGTGAGGAGCTCGGTCATTGCTCAGCTGCTGCTCCACCGCATCGAGAGGAGCCAGATGAGGTGGCTCGAGCATCTGGTCAGGATGCCTCCTGGACGCCTCCCTGGTGAGCTGTTCCGGGCATGTCGGTAGAGGATGGATGGATGGACGGATGGATAGATGGATGGATGGATGTTTTTATAATGGTGAGCTTGTAATCATCTTTGGGCCTTGTAATGCACTTGTCTTTTTGTAGCCTATATTATATCCCTTCTGAGCACCTGTAAGCTAGTTTAACTTATTAATTTTACTAACATGAGTACCACGCTTTATCAAGGACAAAAGTAATCTGCTGAACGTGCCCTTTGGTAATTGTAAAATTAATGTATTATGATGTACAAATTTAATAGAGCTCTAAAAATTGCCTTTGCCATATGTTTAAAAAGTCATAGACTACCAACAGAAATCGAAATAATTTTAAGCAAGGGGCTTTAATCTCTCATCGGCAGCAGATAAAGTCTGTTGTGTTTTCACTGCCAGTTGAGTTGCTATTAATGCTATTTGGGGGCCAGGTGCTCCACAATCACATCCTGGCAGCAAATCTTAATAGCTATTGCCGCCTTCACTGAAAGACGATTAATCTAGAAGGTCAAAGAGAAATTGAGAAAAAGATTTAAAGGTACTCCCAGAGGTTCTCAGGAACCAGCCCATTCCACGTACCTTCAGAGAAATCTCATACAGAAATAAAGAAAACAGGACACTATTGTGGAATTTTGGTTCACCTGGTAAAATGAATGATTTATCGTCTTACTAGTCTCTTTGAGAGGATTAACCGTATTCGCTTTGATCAGCCTGCATGCATGCTAGTAGAACTCAGCAGTGTGCCTGACTTGGTGAGATGTTCTGTAAAGCAGGTAATTTGCCTTTTCGTAGCTGAAATGACGGATACGTCAGGCTTGCCTTTGAAAGATGTCTGTGTGTTTACATTGGCTTTTAGATAAACTGTGCAAACCGCATTGCACAATCAGCTGGCTGCCCGTCCAAATATGCAGCCGGAAATTATTCCGGATATTTTGGCCTATAGCCACAGTGCAAATGGAAGATCCTAAGCTTTAAAGAACACTGTAAAATTTGACCATATTAAATGATTTTTCTTTTCCGATGTTCAGCATATTTAACGCATATTTAAGACCTTACGATCATTGTCTAAATGCTAATTATGGTGACTATTTAAGCAGCACAAAAATGGAACGCTACAGGAATTCTGTTATTTGTAGTACAGTGGGAAAGACCTTTTCCATCCATACTACTAGTCTCCAAAGATCAAAAATTCATGGCACTTTTCCCATTTTAGGAGACGTGGATTCATGTATATTCAGCGGGTAAATATATGATATAGACACAGGCTATAGTGTACTGGGGGAGCGACCTGAATAACAGAGACTTGCATTTCATGAACATTATCTGTTGGCTGGACGGCTCAGAGGGCAGCACGGCTGCATCACACCTCCAGGGTTGGGGGTTTCATTTGCCCCTTCTGGGTGTGTGAGGAGTTTGTATCTCCTTCCCAGATGCACTGGTCTTTTCCTGCAGTGACACATACTCAGGTGGGCTAAATGCCATCTCTGCATTGTCCACAGTGTATGATTGTCTGTGTCCTGCATACACACTGCCATCTTGCTCAGGGGGTGTCCCAACCTGTCCCACCACAGCCCTCACCAGGATAACCAATGGGGAGGTGGAAATGTTGATAATCTTGTTGGTAATTTGGTTGGCTTCATCGTTAATTTCATGGAGA